GTCTCCAGGGAAGCAGAAAACAAGCTTGCTCCCTCCTCCCTATGCCTTCCTCTCACATATTTATGCATGACTATCATGTCTGCTTATTTTTATTATTCAGAGACAGAATTCCTATGAACATGGCCACACACCTGGAAAACTCACAGCAACCCTGTGATTCCACCCATGAAAGCCTTCGACAACACATTGAACATCTCTACAGGAGAAACTGTTCCAAGACACATGGAAATTGGAAGACCTCACAACCTCTGAGGATGCCTCCCATAGATGTGGGTGAAACATCAGGAGAGAATGCTTCTGGAACATAGCCATACAGGCCGGAAAACTCACAGCAACCCAGTCATTCCGGCCATGAAAGCCTTCAACAACACATTGAACTCTATTTATTCATATGGAAGAAGCCTAAAAGGCCATCAACATGGTCTCAACACGTTTCCAAAGAATCATCTGTCCAACCCCATTCTGCCAAGTAGCAGGAAAATTGCATTCAAAGCACCCCCGACAGATGTTGTCGATCGTAAACCGGATCGGGGTATAGGGTGGCAACCTGTGTGACCCCTGAAGTCACAGGTCCGTGGTCTGGGGGTCCTCCTGGATTCTTCACTTACGTTTGAGGCTCAGGCGTCGGTGGTGGCCAGGAGGGCCTTTGCACAATTAAGACTCGTGTGCCAACTGCGACCGTACCTCGGGAAGGGGGATCTGGCCAAGGTGGTCCACGCCTTAGTCACCTCTAGACTGGATTACTGCAATGCATTTTACATGGGGCTGCCCTTGAAAACGGCCCGGAAATTTCAGATGATCCAACGAGAGGCAGCCCGGGGCTCCTTACAGAGAGAGGTCATCCCACCTGTTTAAGGAGCTCCACTGGCTGCCTTTCATCTACCGGACCCAATTCAAGGTGCAGGTTCTTACCTACAAAGCCCTGAACGGTTTGGGACCTGCCTACCTGCGTGACCGCATCTCTGTATACGAACCCACACGATCTCTTGGATCATCCGGCAAGGCCCTGCTCTCGATCCCACCAGCATCGCAGGCACGATTGGTGGGGACGAGAGAGAGGGCCTTTTCGGTGGTGGCCCCTCGACTTTGGAACTCACTCCCTAAAGACATCAGACAGGCTCCAAACTTGGCAGTCTTCAGGAGGAACTTGAAGACGTGGCTGTTCCAGTGTGCCTTCCCGGAATAATGTTCCCATAGCACTTTGTCCTCCAAAGCACTTTACACTTTTTAAGTCTGCTCGTATACCCTTCCATAAACACCAGTATCATCTTCCGTTCATGTCCCAGCATATCTCCAATTTTAACTTTACATTTGGCCTCCCCTCTGTTTTTAATTATGTGTTGTTTTTTGATAATGTTGTTTATTTTATTGTCTATGTTTTTAATTGCTTGTATTGTTGTTTTATTGCTTGTATTGTTGTGTTTGGGCTTGGCCTCATGTAAGCTGCACCGAGTCCCTTGGGGAGATGGTAACAGGGTACAAATAAAGCTAATAAAAAAATGGCCATCCAGCCTCTGCTTAAAAGCCTCCAAAGAAGGAGTTCCACTGCTGAACAGCTCTCACAGTTAGGAAGTTCTTCCTCATGTTCAGATGGAATCTCCTTTCTTGTAGTTTGAAGCCATTGTTTCGTGTCCTAGTCTCCAGGGAAGCAGAAAACAAGCTTGCTCCCTCCTCCCTGTGGCTTCCTCTCACATATTTATACATGGCTATCATATCTCCTCTCAGCCTTCTCTTCTTCAGGCTAAACATGCCCAGCTTTTTAAGCCATTCCTCATAGGGCTTGTTTTCCAGACCCTTGATCATTTTAGTCACCTTTCTCTGGACACCTTCCGCCTTCTCAACATCTCCCTTCAATTACGGTGCCCAGAATTGGGCACAATATTCCAGGTGTGGTCTGACCAAGGCAGAATAGAGCATGGGTAGCATAACTTCCCTGGATCTAGACATATACTCACATTTATGGAGGCCAAAATCCCATTGGCTTTTTTAGCCACCACATAGAATCATAGAATCATAGAGTCAAAGAGTTGGAAGAGACCTCATGGGCTATCCAGTCCAACCCCTGCCAAGAAGCAGGAAAATCGCATTCAAAGCACACCCAACAGATGGCCATCCAGCCTCTGTTTAAAAGCCTCTAAAGAAGGAGCCTCCACCACACCGGGGCAGAGAGTTCCACTGCTGAACAGCTCTCACAGTCAGAAAGTTCTTCCTCATGTTCAGATGGAATCTCCTCTCTTGTAGTTTGAAGCCACTGTTCCGTATCCTAGTCTCCAAGGAAGCAGAAAACAAGCTTGCTCCCTCCTCCCTGTGGCTTCCTCTCACATATTTATACATGGCTATCATATCTCCTCTCAGCCTTCTCTTCTTCAGGCTGAAACATGCCCAGCTCCTTAAGCCGCTCCTCATAGGGCTTGTTCTCCAGACCCTTGATCATTTTAGTCGCCCTCCTCTGGACACATTCCAGCTTGTCAATATCTCTCTTGAACTGTGGTGCCCAGAATTAGACACAATATTCCAGGTGTGGTCTAACCAAGCAGAATAGAGGGGTAGCATTACTTCCCTAGATCTAGACACTATGCTCCTATTGATGCAGGCCAAAATCCCATTGGCTTTTTTTGCCGCCACATCACATTGTTGGCTCATGTTTAACTTCTTGCCCACAAGGACCCCAATATCTTTTTCACATGTCCTGCTCTCAAGCCAGGCATTGTCCCCCATTCTGTATCTTTGCATTTCGTTTTTTCTGCCTAAGTGGAGTATCTTGCATTTGTCACTGTTGAGCTTCATTTTGTTAGTTTTGGTCCATCTCTCTAATCTGTCAAGATCGTTTTGAATCCTGTTCCTGTCCTCTGGAGTATTGGCTATCCCTCCCAATTTGGTGTCGTCTGCAAACTTGATGATCCTGCCTGCAGCAGGATTTCCTCCTTCTCCTCCTGAGGTGGCAGGCAGATGTAGTAAGCAACAGCCAGGAGACAGGTGTTTTTAAAGTCTCTTCCTCAGTCCCCTTCCTCCTCTTAGCTGGCTTGGGAGGGGGAGAGTAGCAGCAGGATTTCCTCCTTCTCCTTCTGAGGTGGCAGGCAGATGTAGTAAGCAACAGCCAGGAGGTAGGTGTTTTTAAAGTCTCTTCCTCAGTCTCCTTCCTCCTCTTAGCTGGCTTGGAGAAGGCGGGGGGGGGGGGGGAGAAGCAGCAGGATTTCCTCCCTCTCCTCCTGAGGTGGCAGCAGACTTAGTAAGCAACTGGCCACCTTGATTAGCATTTGATGGCCTGACAGTTTTAGGTGTGGCTTGTTACTGCCTGGGGGAATCTTTTATTGAGAGGTGGTTAGTTGTTCCTGATTCTTGCCTGGAGTTGCCCTGTGTTTATTTATTTTTATTTATTGGGTACTTTTACCCCGCCCTTCTCAACCCCCGGGGGGGGACTCAGGGCGGCTTACAAAAAGGCACAATTCGATACCTATACAAATTACACATAATGTACAAAACCATAGTTAAAACAATTATCACAGTTAAAACAGTCAAAACCCATCAGTATATAACACATCATATAAAAACTATTCTCAAGCTCAGCGTTTCATCTTTCAGAGTTCCATAGTTCCATTCCATTGGTCAATTCCTGTCCATTGTCAAAGTCCTTTCTTTATCTGCCAGATTGTCCAAATGCCTGATCCCAAATCCATGTTTTCAGTTTTTTCCTAAAGGAAAGGAGTGATGTTGCTGATCTAATTTCCCCGGGGAGTGAATTCCACCGGCGGGGGGGCACCACCGAGAAGGCCCTGCTCCTCGTCCCCGCCAACCTCATTTGTGATATTATTTATTTATTTATTTTATTTGTATACCGCAGTTTCTCAGCCCGTAGGCGACTCAACGCGGTAAACAACAAGAGCAAAAATTCAATGCTAACAACATACACTATTTAAAAACAATTAACACCGTAATATACTAAGTAATTACGCATCAATAGACAACACATTAACATCTCGTACTAGAATCGTGATCCAACTCGTCATCCATAATTCCGTTTTCCTATATTCATTGTATTCATTGCACTGTTTATCCAAACGCCTGTTCAAACAGCCAGGTCTTCAGTCTTCTTCGAAACACCATTAACGAGGGGGGTGATCTAAAGTCCATGGGAAGGGCGTTCCACAGCCGGGGGGCCACCACTGAGAAGGCCCTGCCCCTCGTCCCCACCAAACGTGCCTGTGATGCAGGCGGGATCGAGAGCAGGGCCTCTCCAGATCTTAAAGTCCTGGTGGGTTCACAGGCGGAGATACGTTCGGATAGGTAACTTGATAGAGATGGGGTCGAGAGCAGATCCTCCCCAGAAGATCTTAGACTCCGGGGTGGGATGTTGTTGAGAGGTAATTATCAACCCAATTTTCCTAGTTTCCAAAAGATCTCACAACCTCTGAAGATACTTGCCATAGATGTGGGCCAAACGTCAGGAGAGAATGCTTCTGGAACATGGCCATACAGCCCGGAAAACTTACAGCAAGGCAGTGATTCCGGCCATGACAACACAATTCCTAACAGCCTCAGGCCCCTTCCTTTTCCCCCTCAGCCGCTTAAGCGGCTGAGGGGGAAAAGGAAAGGGCCTGAGGCTGTTAGGAATGGTGGGAGTTGGAGTCCAAAACACCTGGAAGGCCCAAGTTTGCCTATGCCTGCCTCAGATTCCCTTCCACCTCTAAACACTCCAGCCTTGACTCTCAGTGGGTTGTTTTTGCATTGGGAAGCAGAGAAAGATGCAGAGAAGGCCTTGGAAAAGGAGAGAAGCAGGTGAGGAGGAAAGGAGAGAAGGGAGGAAGGGGTGAGGGAAGGGAGGGCCAGGTTGGGCCCAAAGAAAAGCCGCAGGGATGGAGGAAGAGGCTCAGAGAGATGCTCAACACCCAGGAGCAAGGGCTGTGGGGTGGGGGGCAAAGCAAGGAAGCCTCCACACCCAGCACCTTGGCACAAAAGACAATGCAGGTGAAGCCAAAGCATGGAAGAGAAATTGTGCTCACTGTCAGTGGCCATGGTGGCTCCAAGGGTCCCGTCTCCTCTTCCTCTCCTCTTCCTCCTCCTTCTTCTTCTCTACCTCCTCCTTCTTTGCTTTTCTTCCTTCACCCCATTCCTTCCTTGCAATGCGACTCTACTCTCTCCTTTCAAAGGGGGAAAAGGAAGAAGAAGGGGTTGGAAAGAGCAGGATGAGGTGGCGGTGGCAGCAGAAGCAGAAGCAGAAGCAGCAGAAGAGGGCTTCGTCGGCGCGCGCTCCCGCCGCCCGCAGGACGCGGCACTTGGGAGCGCGCGCGGGAGAGGAGAGGGGGGGTCGGATTTTTGGAGAGGAGGAGAAAGAGAAAGAGTGCGCGTGCGCTCAGCATCAGCAACAGCACCTAGGCTAGTGTTTCTCAACCTAGGGGGTTCGAGACCCCTATTTCCCCCCAAACTCCCCCTGTGTTCACATTTGGGCATGCTGAGTATTCATGCCAAGTTTGGTCCTGATCTATCATTGTTTGAGTCCACCATGCTTTCTGGATGTAGGTGAACAACAACTCCCAAAACCCAAAGCCAATTCCCACCTACCCCTTCCAGTATTTTCTGTTGGTCATGGGAGTTCTGTGTGCCAAGTCTGGTTCAATCCCATAATTGGTGCAATTCAGAATGCTCTTTGATTGTAGGTGAACTATAAATCCCAGCAACTACAACTCCCAAATGTCAAGGTCTATTTTCCCCCAAACTCCCCCAGTGTTCACATTTGGGTATATTGAGTATTCATGCCAAGTTTGGTCCAGATCCTTCATTGTTTGAGTCCACCGTGCTCTCTGGATGTAGGTGAACTACAACTCCCAAAACCCAAGGCCAATGCCCACCAACCCCTTCCAGTATTTTTTGTTTGTCATAGAACTTCATTATGCCAAGTTTGGTTCAATTCCATCGTTGGTGGAGTTCAGAATGCTCTTTGTTTGTAGGTGAACTATAAATCCCAGCAACTACAACTCCCAAATGACAAAATCAATCCTTCCCCAACCTCACCAGTATTCAGATTTGGGCATATTGGATATTCGTGCCAATTTGGTCCAGTGAATGAAAATACATGTTGCATATCAGATATTTACATTACAATAACAAAAGTTATGAAGCAGCAAATAATATTAGGGTTGGGGGTCAACACAAGATGAGGTGCTGTATTAAGGGGTCACTGCATTAGGAAGATTGAGAAACACTCCTAGGCAAAACCGGGCACGTGCTTCATTCAAAGCCAGTTCACACCAGGCACAAACACTGGGTTTTCTTGGGTAGAGAAGCAGTTCCTGTATATTAGTAGCCTAGTGTCTAGATCCAGGGAAATGATGCTTCCCCTCTATTCTGCCTTGGTTAGACCACACCTGGAACATTGTGTCCAGTTCTGGCACCACAATTGAAGGGAGATATTGACAAGCTGGAATGTGTCCAGAGGAGGGCGACTAAAATAATCAAGGGTCTGGAGAACAAGCCCTATGAGGAGTGGCTTAAAAAAGTTGGCATGTTTAGCCTGCAGAAGAGAAGACTGAGAGGAGACATGATAGAGTAATAGTATGAAAGCTGGGTCCGGAAGCTCTGAGCCTTACGCTCTTTCCGCTTCACTCCTTTGGGAGCACTGTTTGTACAACGCAGAATGGAAGACAGATATTATAGAAGGAATGATAGCCATGTATAAATATGTGAGGGGAAGTCATAGGGATGAGGGAGCAAGCTTGTTTTCTGCTGCCCAGGAGACTAGGATGCAGAACTATGGCTTCAATCTACAGGAAAGGAGATTCCACCTGAACATTAGGAAGAACTTTCTCACTGTGAGAGCTGTTCAACTCTGGAACTCTCTGCCCAGAAGTATAGTCCACCCTTCTCACTCTTAAGGGGACTCAGGGCAGATCACAGAACACATACATGGCAAACATTCAATGCCGTTGAACTGACAGAACAGACAATAGATATAGGTATATGTCTGCAGTTTTCCCAACTTTGACGTCTTGGAGGTTGTGCTCGATTCCAGCCACAGTGGAGTACTCTCACTCCATCCTCTATGACGAAGAGCCCTTGATCGGATTTCCTCCTTTCTTTTGATCAACAGCATTTTCTGATATTTCATCTTTATGGTGTCATAAAATACCTCCCTGCTTAAGCAGTGACAAATTTCTCTACTCCCAGCTCACAGCTGTTTTCAAACTGCTTAGGTGGACAGTGGGCTGGGCTGAAGGTCAGGTGCTCACCCCGATCCAGGCTTCAACCTGCCAGCCCTTCAATTGATGTGATCTGTTGCTGCTGCTGATTAACAAGCTGTGCTAAAGCCCAACTATTGTAGGCTGTATTTCTTAGGATGGAACTAGCAAATTCATGGAGTCAACATAACTTAACATGCAATTTGAAGGCACACACAGAGAGAAAAATGCATTTCAGCTGATGTTACTTGTCAACACCAGCTCTGTCCCTAAAATTCACTGGACAGTCTATTGTAATATTCCAAAGAATGTGCAGGTTGTGGGTTGAGGAACAATACAATGAAGTGCAAGAATTACAGTCTATGGATAAATAACAACAACAACAACAACACTTTATTTATATTCCACCCTTCTCACCTCGAAGGGGACTCAAGGCGGATCACAGTATACAAACACGGCAAACATTCAATGCTGCTTTGTATAGACAATACAGAGACAGACAGAACAGAAAGGAGGTGTGTTGTTCGACTCCGTGTCGAGCTTTGGTGCCATTGAAGGTGAGTCCAACCACAGGGGGAGCTGTCACTCCATCCTCTATGATGAAGAACCATCAGGACTTCCTTCTTCCTTTTGGTCACCCAGCATTTTCTGATCTTCTTTCTCTATGGCGTTGTAAAACACCTCCCCCACTTATAGCAGTACCTAATTTCTCTAATTACAGCTAAAGCTGTTTTCGACTGCTTAGGCAAACAGTGAGCAGGGCTGATGGTTGGCAGCTCACGCTGACCCAGGGCTTTGAACTTGCAACCTTTTGGTTGACAGATCTTATAGTTGCTTGTGATTTATCAGCTGTGCTAAAACTCCGGATGCATCCACACAGAAGAATTGGGGCACTTTGCCACGTCTTTAACTACCATGGATCAATACTATGGAATCATGAGATTTGTAGTGTAACAAGGCACCAACACTCTTTGGCAGAGAAGGCTAAAGACCTGGTAAAACTGCAACTCCTAGAATTCCACAGCATTGAGCATAACAGTTAAAGTGGCATCAACCTGCATTAATTCTACAGTCTAAAATGCATCCTTTGACAACTTACAGTGTGCAAAATGGATATTTCACATCAGTAGGTGATGATGGCATTACAGTTAGCATAGCATTACTAAGTCCATTCCCAAATGAAAAAGCAGACTGTTTGATATACAAAGTTCACACTTGTTTTGAGGTTCCTAGTTCCAAGATAGTGACTTCAAGCTCAGTTAGAGAAAACTAATAAGGTTGAAGTTTTCTGTTGAATTCTGAAGCTTAATGAACCCCTGTGTATTATGTTCTGCATTATTTGGGAGACAAACACCAAACAGGTTCTGTTATACAATGCAGTCAGCCAACATGCTGCTATGGAAGGGAGAGGGAAATAGCACAAAATGCAGCACAAGTTTGCTGCAGACGCAAACGCTGCACAGTATGAAAATATATTCAGCATGCTGCTTTCCCAGAAAATGCTGACGCGCTGGGAAAATCTGACTTCATAAATGGAGCAAATTTATTATCTTTGGGATCAATTCTGCTGAAATTATGCTGCTTACAGTTCTGAAAATGAAGTCCAATAAAATCACACAGAACAAACTTCAGAAAATAACGTGCACAAATTGTTAGTGAGCCATGCAGCTATTACCAGAGTTTGGACACAACACAAAAACACATTTTGTTTTTGTGTGCATTCAGGTGTGTCACATTAATTAATTTATTTATTGTGTCAGGAGCAAACCAAACAGTTGTATTGCATTTAAAAAAAAACACACACACAAAGTTTGCAAACTTGGCATTCTATTAAATGTCCTTTGACTAGTAGCTGGCCACTTGGAGTGCTTCCGGTGTTGCTATAAGATCCTCGATTGTGCATGTGCCAGGGCTCAGGTTGCATTGCAGTAGGTGTTCTGTGGTTTGCTCTTCTCCACACTTGCACGTCGTGGACTCCACTTTGTGGCCCCATTTCTTAAGGTTGGCTCTGCATCTCGTGGTGCCAGAGCAGTCTGTTCAGCAACTTTCAAGTCACGCAGTTTTCTGTGTGCCCAGGAGGGAGTCTCTCATTTGGTACCAGCCATTGATTGAGGTTCTGGGTTTGAGCCTGCCACTTTTGGACTCTTACTTGCTGAGGTATTCCAGTGAGTGTCTCTGTAGATCTTAGAATACTATTTCTTGATTTAAGTCATTGGTGTGCTGACATATCCAAAGAGGGAATGGGCCAGAGATGTCATTGTCTTCCCTGCGGATGTCAGGTGGTGCAATATCAGTTAAACAGTGTAATTTCTCCAATGGTGTAGGGCACAGACACCCTGTGATAATGCAGCATGTCTCATTTAGAGCCACATCCACTGTTTTATTTATTTATTATTTATACGCTTGTATACCGCTAATATCTCAGCCTAAGTCGGCGACTCATTGCGGTTTACAACAATTAAAAACAGTATTCAATTTAAAACATAAAACACATATATAATACAATTACTGGGCCACCAATAATAATCCCATGCATCTCATAACTAAAGTCACAATCCGATATTCGTCGTCTATGATTACCAGTCCTTTAGTCATCAAGATTCGATTGCAACGGATTAACCGAATGCTTGTTTAAACAACCATGTTTTCAATCTCTTCCGAAACACCATCAGCGAGGAGGCTGATCGTACCTCTATAGGGAGGGTGTTCCAAAGCCGAGGGGCCACCACAGAAAAGGCCCTGTTTTATCATGATGAGATGTATTCCACACTGGGCATACATATTTATTTTATTTATTTATTTAGAACACTTTTACCCCGCCCTTCTCAACCCCTAGGAGGACTCAGGGCGGCTTCCAATTGGTAACAATTCGATGCCACATAATAAAATACAAAACAGCAATAATTATAACAGTTAAAAGCATCAAACATTAAGACATAAAACATTAAAACAATATACTTACAGTCCACTGAGCTATTACCAGTCTAGTGGTCATTTATTAAGCCGTATGCTATGATTGAGTACTCAGCTTAACTTATCCATAATCCTTTTCCAAGCCATTGTCAACATTTTCAATTGTCCTTTCTGCCTAATTGCCCAAAGGCCTGTCCCACATCCACGTTTTTACCTTCTTTCTAAAGGTGAGGCGGGATGACGATGACCTAACTTCCCCGGGAAGCAGCAGAGTAGCAAAGCGCAATGGCAGATCTCTTCACTGTGTCTGGTTGTGATCCCCAGGTTGTGCCAGTCAGCTTTCGTATGATATTATTTCTAGCACCCGCTTTTTGCTTGCTATTCAGGCAGTGCTTCTTGTCGGTCAGAGAATGGTCCAGGGTAACTCCCTGTTATTTGGGTGTGGTCGCATTAATGAATTGTGGTTATTCCAACAACCACTAACTATGTTGAGTTCAAACTGTAATTTACCATACTTACTCGAGTATAAGCCAACCCGAATCTAAGCTGAGGCACCTAATTTTACCACAAAAACTGGGGAAACGAGTTGACTCAAGTATAAGCTGAGGGTGGGAAATGTAGTAGCTACTGGTAAATTTCAAAATAAAAATAGATACCAATAAAATTACATTAAACAAGACATTAATCAAGAAAAAGGAGATAGAGGGCCTGATTCGGGCAGTCCAAAAACAAGCCATTAGAACAAATGCCATCAAAGTCAAAATTGATAAGTCAACGACAGATCCCAAGTGGAGACTCTGCAAGGAAGCAGATGAAACAATAGATCAGCTGCTGCAAGATCGTGCAGACAGACTACAAGCAGAGGCATAACACTGTTGCTCAGATGATCCATTGGAACTTGTGCCACAAACACCACCTGCCTTTGACAAAGAACTGGTGGGATCACAAGCCGGAAAAAGTTACAGAAAATGATAACGTCAAATTACTCTGGGACTTCTGAATTCTGACTGACAAGAGTTTTGGAGCACAATACTCCTGACCTCACAATCGTGTTAAAAAAACCAAGTATGGATCGTTGATGTTGCAATCCCAGGTGATAGCAGGATTGAAGAGCAACAACTGGAAAAGATGACACGATATGAGGATTTAAAGATCAAACTGCAAAGACTCTGCCAGTAAAGGTGGTCCCAGTGGTGATCGGCACACTGGGTGCAGTGCCTAAAGACCTTGGCCTGCACTTAAACACAATCAGCACTGACAAAATTACTATCTGTCAGATGCAAAAAGCCACCCTACTGGGATCCGCATGCATTATTCGCCAATACATCACATAGACACTTGGGAAGTGTCTAGTGTGTGATCCAATACAACAATCAGCATAGTGATCTCGTTTACAATGTTCTAATCTTGTAATAATAATAATAATAATAATAATAATAATAATAATAACAACAATAATAAATAGGGTAAGCTAGTAAATGTAATAATAACAAATAAAGTAAAGTAATATATGTAATAATAATAGAGTAAAATAATAAATGTAATAATAGAGTAAAATAATAAATGTAATAAAATCATAATAATAGAGTAAAATCATGTAAACATAATAAAAATAATAATAATACCAGAGTAAAACAATAAATAACCTTGACTCGAGTATAAGCCGAGGGGAGCTTTTTCAGACTAAAAAAGGGCTGAAAAACTCTGCTTATACTTGAGTATATACGGTATTGAAGCAATAAACTAGAGCTTATTAAAGCAAGCTGGTTCTTGGCTAGGAGGCCCAATATAATCACAAACACTGTACTTTAAAGTTGAAAACAAATTCACTTTTTCCTTTGGCCAACATTCTAATTTACTGTTATGTCTAAATCAGAGCACAATTAACCTTTGATGTAACAGAGTAACACAGCTTTCTTTAAGTGAACAGGAAAAAATCAAAACCACATATTCATTTGGAACCTCCCGTTTTTTATTCACAAATTATATTAACCAAGAAAGAAAACAAAACTGGAAACAATGATACTGGCCTCAGGTTTCAAAAGATGAAGCAGTAAAAATAATTTGGGTGCATACAAAGTTGCAAAACAATAATTTAATCAACATACCTATCTTACATAAGCAGCATCAAGGCTAAAACACACTCTTCCCTTTAATTAACACAGTTAAAATATTTTGGAAATGAGGTGTTTTCAGCCAAATAAGTTATTACAAATTTACATTTAGAAAACATTCAAGCTTCTCTATGCATTTATTGAAGGCACAGAAGGATGATGAAATCCACTCTGCAGCACACAAATCTATATCAAATCGAATACTCAAAGCTCCTCAAATATAACCTCTACTTTGAGATGTCTTTGTGATTTCTTAAAACAAACACAGACATCGGCATTTTGCAATATGGTCCTAAACCATTCCGCTTGTCCTGTCCATTGGCTGAAGAGGGATTTTGATTGCGCTATTCCAATTCACACATGTTTTTTCTCTCTGAATGATTTCTCAAATCCTCTTCTTCTTGGTGGGTACAAAATCTGGAAATGGAAGCATAGAAAGTTATCAACTTCCAAGAATTCAGCAGACCGCAAGGAAAAGAGTCTGAACAAGATGGCACTATTTTGCACATAGCAAAACTAAAAAGGATACCTGGACAGGATCAGACTTAAACTATATAGCAAACATGGGCAAACTTTGGCCCTCCAGGTGTTTTGGCATTCCACGACCCCTGAATATGGTTCCTCATGTGTGGTGACTCCCAGCCATAAAATTATTTTAGTTCCCTACTTCATAGACCTTGACATTTGGGAGTTGTAGTTGCTGGGATTTATAGATCATCTACAATCAAAAAGCATTCTTAACTCCATGGACATTAGAATTGGGCACAACTTCCCACATAGAGCCCCTATGCCTTGAAGGGAATCATTGGTGCACGCCTCCCTCCAGCCTCATACGCTCTCCCTCGTCCACACAGGTGCACCATGCTGTCATGCGCCAAGCATGCCTCCTTTCCCCTCCCCACTTGGAGTATCAGAAACAGCCTTCCCCTTGGCTGAGAGGCCAGTCAATCACAGTGGAGGAGGGCTTTTGGTGGGAGGATTCGCCATCTGTTTCCAAAAAGCAAGAGAAAGACAGGCAGAGAGATCTTCAGCCTTCTCTGCCAAAGTGGTTCCAAACACCATCAAGAAATGTGTTTTCTGATGGTCTCTGGTGACCCCCTTGAAACCCTCTTGCAACCCCCCAGGGGTCGTGACCCCCAGGTTGAGAAATGCTGGTATAGATGCAGGACAGTTCACACATCCTCCTTGTGTGGAAGAAAACTAGGTATCACATCACACCAAAGTTTGAATACAGTGACTTAGATTTCCTTTCCCACATCTTCCCATACAAAAAGGCAACCACCAAAACACACCATGCACATGGTTGTTGCCCAGCCATTTCTTCATAAATTAATGCATCTCTTTTTAAAATATCTGGATCTGCTTCATTTTAAGCTTAAGCATATACCCGAAAACCTTTCCCACATGAACGCAAACACATAGTATAACAATGCATTGTTGAAGGCTTACATGGCCGGAATCACTGGATTGTTGTAGGTTTTTTCAGGCTATAGGTCCATGTTGTAGAGGCATTCTCTCCTGACGTTTCGCCTGCATCTATACCTCTGAGGATGCTTGGCATAGATGCAGGTGAAACGTCAGGAGAGAATGCCTCTAGAACATAGCCATATAGCTCAAAGAAACCTACAGCAATAAAGTATAACACTTTCAGTTGTATAACATGGATTTTCACAAGAGTTTTCTATAGTTCTATGTCTCTCAGCTTTGGGCTGAATAAAGTGCCCAGTTTCTAGAGCTGAGACAAAGGACAGTGTTCTTAATAGAAAGCTTAGCATTCTCGAATTAACAAACTACGTATGGTAGGAGACTAGTGGGACACAAACCAGTAATCTTTGGAAGGGGGTGTTCTAACAAAGAAGGGACCCCTCCTCCTGGAAAGTAATTCTCTCAATAACAGCCTCCAACATACCCTCACTACTGGAATGGTCAGATATTTCTTCTTCCTCTTCTCCTTCTGCATCGTCCTCTGCTATTGTAGGCAAGCTCAGACTCTTGACACTTTGCTCCTCTGTAGGTTACAACATGGGGCACAAGTGTCAGAATATGTTAAAGTATGTAATGTGTTTTAAATGTAATTTCATGTAGTTGTAATATGGATCCCACAAGATTGTGTTGCTGTAATGTATGTTTATGTTTGAGGCTGTGAGATAGTCGCCCTGAGATACTCTCTGAGTTGAGTTGTGAGAGAAATTAGGGAGTATCTGATATCTGCCAAGCAGCCAAGCAGCTGCAGAATTGTTTACTTTTCTACTTCATGTCTGGACGCTTACTAGAATGGATGTGTTTTGAAATGCTCTAAGTAAATTGAACCTGCTTTGTAACCAGAAGTCTCCAGAGTCCATGATTTCTACCAAGCCTGTGCAAAACTTCCGCTAAACGCCAACAACAAGCTAGTAACCTTTGGAGTCCAGAGGAGGGCGACTAAAATGATCAAGGGTCTGGAGAACAAGCCCTATGAGGAGCGGCTTAAGGAGCTGGGCATGTGTAGCCTGAAGAAGAGAAGGCTGAGAGGAGATATGATAGCCATGTATAAATATGTGAGAGGAAGCCACAGGGAGGAGGAGCAAGCTTGTTTTCTGCTTCCTTGGAGACTAGGACACGGAACAATGGCTTCAAACTACAAGAAAGGAGATTCCACCTGAACATTAGGAAGAACTTCCTGACTGTGAGAGCTGTTCAGCGTGGAACTCTCTGCCCCAGAGTGTGGTGGAGACTCCTTCTTTGGGGGCTTTTAAACAGAGGCTGGATGGCCATCTGACTGGGTGCTTTGAATGCAATATTCCTGCTTCTTGGCAGGGGGTTGGACTGGATGGCCCATGAGATCTCTTCCAACTCTTTGATTCTATGATTCTATGAGTGGGGGGGGGGGGGGATTTCTGACAAAGAAGGGACCCATCTACCTGGAAAGTAATTCCCTCCCCTTTCCCTGATCCGTAACAGCCCCCAACATACCTTCACTACTGGAGTGGTCAGATATTTCTTCTTCCTCTGCTCCTTCTGCATCATCCTCTGCTATCGTAGGCATGCTCAGACTCTTGACGCTTTGCTCTCTTGTAGGTTGCAACATGGCTGCAAAATAAGTTAAATTAAAGAGTAATCCTTCATCTCCATACCCAGGTCCTTGCTAGTCAATTTGACAGGATATTCTCCCACCGTTAGACACTCATATAGTATCTGGGTGTTTAATAGGTATTCTTAGATACATCCTACCTCTGTTCACCCCCAGTGTTTATTTTTAAAAATTTAATTTATTACATCTGGCCCGGCCATAAGGTTTTACATTCTCTGTGTTATTGTTTATAATAATAATAATATAAATAATAACTTTATTTATACCTTGCCACCATCTCCCCAAGGGACTCGGAGCGGCTTACATGAGGCCAAGCCCAACAACACATCACAACAGAAAAGCAATAACAACAATACAAAGCAATACAAAATAATATAAATCACATATAACAATAACACACAGGATTTAAAAGCTTATGGCCAGGCCAGATGTAATGATTTAAAATTAAAAAATAACGCTGGGTATGACAAGATATATCTCGTAGGAAGGTTATATTAATTGTACTGTTTTATTTGCTTGCTGTTTTGTTTTTACTGATGTGTTGTTGGGCTTGGCCTCATGTAAGCCGCCCCAAGTCCCCTTGAAGAGATGGTGGCGGGGTATAAATAAATAATAATAATTATCATCATCATCATCATCATTATTATGATGTCATTATTTCTATCTTCGGTTACATGGAGAAGTAGTTTAAGTTGAATAAACCCAAATTATACTCTTAGTCCCAACTAGAGATGGGAAGGCCTAGGAAAAAAAATGGAAAAATCAAGAAAAGATTTTTTTTTCCCCTAGCCATTTTTTTCCAGAAAAATTGGGTAGGGAGAAATGTGTAGAAACAAAAAGTGTCAGAAATCTTTCATTGTCTTCATGTATATTCTGGTTGCTTCTGGTGTGAGAGAATCAGCACCGGGATTGTGGCGCAGTTGGCTGAGTGTCAGTTGCATTAAGATCACTCTGACCAAAAGGTCATGAGTTCGAAGCCAGCCCAGGTTGGAGTGGGTTTCCAACCAATTGTGTGTAGCCTGTTGTCAACCTTTGCAACCCGAAAGACAGTTGCATCTGTCAAGTAGGAAAAATAGGTACCACCTTAAAAAAAAGTGTGGGGAGACTAAATTAACTGATTTATGAGGCCATAAAGAAGATTCCAGCAAGCATTCCAGCAAAAAGCATGCGGGGAATGCGGAAGTGCTTCATCAGCGTGGCAGATGGACGAGGAAAGCAACAGCTCCCCTGGCGGCCAGAAAAAGTTAAATAGCCTCTGTGTTTGTCTGTATACGTTGTATGTCAAATAGGCATTGAATGTTTGCCATATATGTGTACATTGTAATCCGCCCTGAGTCCCCTGCGGGGTGAGAAGGGCGGAATATAAACACTGTAAATAAATAAAATAAATAAATGTGCTGCCTCATTAAGATCACTACTGACCGAAAGGTCATGAGTTCAAAGCCAGCCTGGGTCGGAGTGAGCTTCTGGCCAATTTGTGTAGCTTGTTGTCGACCTTTGCAACCCGAAAGACAGTTGCATCTGTCAAGTAGGAAAATTAGGTACCACCTATGTGTGGGGAGGCTATTTTAACAAATTTAGGAGGCCATAAAAAATCTCCAGCAAAAGCATGCAGGGAATGTGGAAGGTACTTCATCAGTGTCGCAGATGGACAGTGAAGCGACAGCTCCCCTGGTGGCCAGGAAATTGGAATGTTTAATAGCCTCTGACTGTCTGTCTATATGTGTTGTGTATCTATGGCATTGAATGTTTGCCATGTATGTGTACATTGTAATCTATCCTGAGTCCCCTGAGAAGGGCAGAATATAAATACTGTAAATAATAATAATAAAATAACTAATTTTTCAATATTTGGGGGGAAGGGAGGGGAGATTTGGTACCTTTTGGAAACAAACTTTTCATCTGTTGACTCGGTTTATTATTTACAGCTTCATGTGTTAAAACAAACATCATAAATTTGGACTTGGAAGGAAAGTGTCTCCAAATGGAGATAGTAGGAAATTCCCGTATGAAGTTACCTACCTCTACTTTGTTGGGTTTCTATCTTCCGCATTGGTTGTACCCTTTGCCTGGCTCTTTCAGTTCTAGGTGATCTTGTTTTCCTTTGATCTGATCGGGGTGCAGAGGATTCTAGCTGAACTTGACGGTGACGTCTTGACTTGGAAGCCTTAAAAAATGAAATAGGCAACAATAGAAACAAGTCCTAAGTAGTACATACACTCCTTAAACTATACAGTGACAATCAAATACTGTTGTAAACACGTATTCATAATTATTATCTTCAAACACTTACTGCAGCAACTGCAGAGTATGATCTCGATTTAATGTCAGCTAATGCTCTGGCTCTTTCAGATCCCTGGGAAAGAAAAAGACCACAAACATTACTTATTTTTCCTTCTACACCACTCCAATCTTTCTATAATCCCCACTCACTAAAATTAAAAGCATACTTCAGTTCACAAAAGGCTGGCAGCAACATTTTTAAAATATAGAATCATAGAATCTTAGAGTTGGAAGAGACTTCATGGGCCATCCAGTCCAACTCCCTGACAAGAAGCAGGAAAATTGCATTCAAAGCACCCCCAACAGATGGCCATCCAACCTCCATTTTAAAGCCTCCAAAGAAGGAGCCTCCACCACACTCCAGGGCAGAGAGTTCCACTGCTGAACAGCTCTCACAGTCAGGAAGTTCTTCCTCATGTTCAGATGGAATCTCCTCTCTTGTAGTTTGAAGCCATTGTTCCATTGCATCCTAGCCTCCAGGGCAACAGAAAACAAGCTTGCTCCCTCCTCCCTATGACTTCCCTTCACATCTTGATACATGGCCTTTATCATGCCTCCTCACAGCCTTCTCTTTTGCAGGCTAAACATGCTCAGCTCTTTAAGTTGCTCCTCGTAGGGCTTGTTCTCCAGACCCTTAATCATTTTAGTCACCCTCCTCTGGACACATTCCAGCTTGTCAACATCTCCCTTCAATTGTGGTGCCCAGAACACTGCGTGATTCCAGGTAACGTGGTCTGACTACAGCAGAATAGAGCATGGGTAGCATGACTTCCTTGGATCTAGACACTAGACTCCTATTTATGCAGGCCAAAATCCCATTGGCTGTTTTAGCTGGCACATGATATTGTTGACTCATGTTCACCATCCTGTCTAATTTCGGTTTTGTGTATTTTAATATGTATTTTATGGAAATATGTTTTAATATGTGTATTCTATGGAATGTTTTTAAATAATTATGTTTTGATTATGTATTTTAGCAATATTGTAACCTGCCTCACCCTTGAGGAGACACAGGTAAGAAATATTATTATTATTATTTTTGTCGTGTCAAGAGCAACTTGAGAAATTGCAAGTCGCTTCTGGTGTGAGAGAATTGGCCGTCTGCAAGGACGTTGCCCAGTGGACGCCTGGATGTTTTGATGTTTTATCATCCTTGTGGGAGGCTTCTCTCATGTCCCCACATGAGGAGCTGGAGCTGACAGAGGGAGCTCATCCACACTCTCCCCGGATTCGAACCTGCGACCTGTCGGTCTTCAGTCCTGCCGGCACAGGGGTTTAACTCACTGCGCCACCGGGGGCTCCTAGAAATATTATTATTATTATTATTATTATTATTATTATTATTATTATTATTAGATACATAAGATTAGGATGCAGATCACTATGCTGGCTTTTGTTTGATCACACGTCGGACACTTCCCAAGTGTCTAGGACTTTGTAATGTCTCAGCAAATAATGTGTGCAGATCCAAGTAGGGTGCCCTTTTGCAGCTGACAGATGGTAATTTTGTTTTTAAGTGCGGGCCAAGGTCTTTAGGTACTGCACCCAGTGTGCTGATCACCACTGGAACCGCCTTGACTGGCTTGTGCCAGTCTTTGCAGTTCTATTATTGTTACTGTTATTATTATTATTGGGAAAATTGTGTAAGAGAGCTGAAACACAGACGTTTAGCCTAAGGTTTTTTCTCCAAAACTCTTCCTGCTGAACAAAACCAGTAACTGCATAAAGGACTTTTTAAACTAGGCTATATTATCAACATGCTTCCTTTCTCTCACAACTGGGATTCAAGGAGGCTTACAACATCAAAAAGAATACAGTTAAAACATAGTGAAGATTAAAACACAATTAAACCACTCTATTCATGTTATTCATTATTATAATCATGTAACATTCACTATAAAGCAATCCTATGTTGAAGTACACTGATGCCATGGTCCAAAACCTGCCGCTAATTACAGACATCACAGTAAGCAAATGTCCTTACTTCTAACCCTTGCAAAGAAACTTCTTTTTCTGCTGTTCCTTCTTTATCCGTAGTAACCAAGGGCGACTCCTGAAAGACACAAAAATATTACCATATAAGCCAACTACACACAGGTCTTAGTCTAGAAATACCTCTGTTCATTCCCAAACAGCCATCAGATTCAACATTGTATAATCTATACGAAGGAGCCCCCGGTGGCGCAATGATATTTCTCAACCTGGGGGTCGGGACCCCTGGGGGGGTCACGAGGGGTTGTCAGAGGGATCACCAAAGACCATTGGAAAACACTGTATTTTCTGTTGGTCATGAGGGTTCTGTGTGGGAAGTTTGGCCCAATTCTATCATTACTGGGGTTCAGAATGCTCTTTGACTGTAGGTGAACTATAAATCCCAGCAGCTACAACTCCCAAATGTCAAGGTCTATTTTCCCAAAATATTAACAGTGTTCACATTTGGGCCTACTGAGTATTCGTGCCAAGTATGGTCCAGATCCATCATTGCTTGAGTCCACAGTGCTCCCTGGCTGTAGGTGAACTACAACTCCCAAACTCAAGGCCAATGCCCACCAAAGCCTTCCAGTATTTTCTGTTGCTCATGGGAGTTCTGTCTTCCAAGTTTGGTTCAATTCCATCATTGGTGGAGTTCAGAATGCTCTTTGATTGTAGGTGAACTATAAATCCCAGCAGCTACAACTCCCAAATGTCAAGGTCTATTTCCCCCAAACTCCACCAGTGTTCACATTTGGGCATACTGAGTATTCGTGCCAAGTATGGTCCAGATCCATCATTGCTTGAGTCCACAGTGCTCCCTGGCTGTAGGTGAACTACAACTCCCAAACTCAAGGCCAATGCCCACCAAAGCCTTCCAGTATTTTCTGTTGGTCATGGGAGTTCTGTCTGCCAAGTTTGGTTCAATTCCATCATTGGTGGAGTTCAGAATGCTCTTTGATTGTAGGTGAACTATAAATCCCAGCAACTACAACTCCCAAATGACAAAATCAACCCCCCCACAACCCCACCAATATTCAAATTTGGACGTATCATGTATTTGTGCCAAATTTGACCCAGTGAATGAAAATATATCTGGCATATCAGATATTTACATTACAATTCATAACAGTAGCAAAATTGCAGTTCTGAAGTAGCAACAAAAATAATGTTATGGTTGGGGGTCACCACAACATGAGGAACTGTATTAGGAAGGTTGAGAATCACTGGGTTAAACGCTTATGCTGGCCGGACTGCTGACCTGAAGGTTGGCAGTTTGAATCCAGGGAGTGGGGTGAGCTCCTGTCTGTCAGCTCCAGCTTCTCATACTGGACATGAGAGAAGCCTCCCATAGGATGGTAACACATCCGGGCATCTCCTCAGCAACGTCCTTGAAGACAGCCAATTATCTCACACCAGAAGCGACTTGCAGTTTCTCAAGTCGCTTAAGGCACAAAAAAAATATACAAAAATACTTATTTAATATTTCCACGGATGCATAAAAATTTGAGGCATATTTCAGTGGAAGGAATTAATCACTGTGACCTTTCTTAATGTATATGCCCCACAGATCTCTAGTACACAATGGATGTCATGTATGAACCAGAATGGTGCAGCCTGGATATAGCATTTTCTATTACAGTCCAGTTGCAGACCTTGAGCTTTTGAGTCATCTACATAACGTCAATCAAAGCACAAGCAAACTGAGAAGACCTACCATCTTATTCTTCTGCCACTGCTGGTGTTCTAAAACAACACTCTTGAAATTGGCTGGGAAGTCATCTTTGATCAAATCAATAGCCTTGTCTGGCTGGGACTGGTCTCGGGAGATCAGGCACTTCATTTTTTGGTAGTGGTCATGAATGTTCTTCATTTCCTTAAAGTGAAGAATATATATGTCTTGCTGTTAGGCAGGACAGCTCTATAATAGCACTAAAACGTTTTTCCAATTCGTGACAATCACAGCAGGTAAAAACTGAACATCCTTTAATGAAAAAATCAGTAAGAATCAAGACTCTTGTCATCCATCATTCCTGTTTATGTGGCTTTCATACAAATACGAGGCTTGAATGAAAAGTAATGCCTCCACCTTCGTTACTTGGGTTTGGATGGGAATATTTTAATAAATCAAACGCAGAAATAAGCCTTAGAATGTGCTCTTTAACTACCACTATTCACTTCTCCACATAATCACCAGTCAATAATAATAATCAGCTGGAGACCCCTCCTCCCAGCACCAACTGTCGCTCTGGGCCAGAGTGAAGAGAGAGGGGGCCAGGGGACAGTTCCACCTTGACTCCTGTGCTATTCTAATAATATAATATAATATAATATATTGTATATGCATATAATATTTATAATATTATGTAACAATATGATATTTATATTTCATGTAATATTACTAATAATATTACGATATGATGGTATGGTGGTGCAATATAGCAATGTTTAATGCTGATATTGCACTATTTTTTTATTTATTTTATTTAACTTGTATACCGCTACTCCCAATTTGGCTCGGAGCGGTTTACAGAAGCAGATTAAAACAATACAATTAGCTTTAAAAAGAACAATAACAAAACAATAGGTGGCGAGAACAGGCATAGTCCGGGTTGCTAATACTATGCTAAGAATATAATATATTGTATGTAATATATACCTTGGGTAATATATACCTTGTATATACCTTTGGGGTGAGAAGGGCGGCATATAAATGTCGTAAGTAAGTAAGTAAGTAAATAAATAAATAATTGGATATTACTTTTTGAAAAGCTCGTAGTAAAGGAGAGGCAAGATAACAAAAGTATGAGGAAGAACGTTAAACCCCACTGCAACGAATCCTACTGCAGCTGATGGGAATTCTAGTTGATCACAACTGTTTGGTATCCTTGGTTTTTGTATATTTCCTGTTTATGGATTTATCTGGATTATTGACTTTTGAAGTGGCTTGTTTTCCATTTCTTTGACTCTCCCTTGTACTCTGGTTATTCTGGCAACTGGCTTTTCAAAGTGGATTTTGGAATGGTTGAGCGAGCCTCTCTTCAACTTTGGTAAGCTCCCTTGATTTCCCCTATAACACTTTTTTTAGGCACAGGACAAAGGCTGTGACTGCACTAATTTGCACAAAAACATGAGGGGGAGACATTTTTGTAATAAGGTATCCATGAGATTGGCTTTTTCTAGGACTAACTGATACACTGATCTGTGAAAAAATGGAAGTAAAATGTTCTACTCTTGGTAGATCCTAATTAACGCATACAATATTAAGAACACTTCTGTGCAAGCCAGCATACTAAAAGATGAGGATAAAGCAGCATTATTTTTTACATTATTCCCTTGCTGGTACAATATACTATACACACAAGACCACAAATCAACACCTGTAAAGGCAAATCAACAAATAAGTTAGGGTCACCAAAAAAAAGGCTGTCATATAACAGCAGTGATGCAAAAGCAAAATAATAATAGTACCTCTAAGAACTCTGCTGGGTTCAGCATGGCAACTCTGTCAGTTGGATCACTGAATTCTGTCTTCAGCTCAACTTTATCACGCGTGACCTTTTTTGTCCTAAATGAAAGCTAAAGGGAGGGAGGACCAAACAAATAGGAAAAGTTGACTATCCAAATAAAAGCACTTTATTTATTTATTTACTATACTTGTATACTACCTTTTGAAAAAGTATGCACTATTTTTCTCCAAAACCTAACCAAGTAAATATGTTTCTAGATCAAACAACCTGGTAAACATCATACAATGCTGCTTACTAGGTTTCAAAAGAATGAAAACAGATTAAAAAATTTCAGTTACAAACATAGCCATTGCATGCCAACAAATTCTTAAGGTAACACTTTATTTTACACCATTTTGTATTTTAACTAAATAATAAATTGTAATACTCAATGTTCCCCCATGTTTCTCATCGTTTCCCATCGTTTTAAAGCAGGGCTTTGTCAAAGTGCAAACACAGGCCACGTGTAATCTCAAGGGCAGTGCCTGAACAAAATCTGGCTACCAGTATTAAAAAAACTCTAAAATTACAACAGCAAAACAACAGAGAGGAAACAAACAAGGACATCTAATCACCTCTCAACAAAAGATTGCCCCAGACACTGCCAGGCCATCAAATGCTAATCAAGATGGTCAGTTGAAACATTCACACCTAGCTCCAACAGACAGGAGTCCTTTGTCCCACCCTGGTCATTCCACAGATATATAAACCCACTTTCCTAGTTCCAACAGACCTCACTACCTCTGAGGATGCTTGCCATAGATGCAGGCGAAATGTCAGGAGAAAATGCCTCTAGAACATGGCCATATAGCCCTAAAAAACCTACAACAACCCATTAATTACAGATTCATCAACTCACAAATTTTGGCATTGCTGTGAAATAGAATGCTTTGTCCATACGAAGCTTCCTGAAGATGTAAGCTGCATCATAATGCTTTGCCTCTAACAGCTCTTGCTGGAATTTCATTACTTCTGACCAATCTTTGAGGGCAATCCTGATCTGAAATAAAAAAAAGAACAATTTCTTCATACTTAAACCAGAAACATGGCCTAAGCATAATTCTCATATGAAAAACTCATATTTCTGTGAGTATATTGTTCAAGTCACTTCCAACTTTTGCAACCCTGAGGCAAATCTATCATGGATTTTCTTAGCAAGATTTTTCAGAAGGTTTTTTTTTTTTTTTTTGCATTTGCCTTTCTTTGAAGTTGCGAGAGTGTGACTTGCCCAAGGTCACTCTGTGGGTTTCATGCCTGCGTAGGGATCTGAACCCTGATCTCCAGGTCCAGAGTACAATGATCAGGAGTTGAACATATGATTCCTTGGCTCATAGCTCACATTCCCATCTACTCGATCACACCATCTTTCTTTTAATTTGCAATGGTTATTGTTTACCTATTCCAACTGCAAAATAAGGTTACTAATGACAGCAAAAGGTGGAAAGCAAACAGGTGAAAGCGTAACTTACCTTCTGCTTTGGCTGACACAACTGTGTATTGTACAACCCATACAGAATATACAGGGCACCGACCCGGATCTGGAAAGTGTAAGGTGGCAAGAAGAACGTCCATACCAGAGCTAAAGCCTCTTTTGTAAATTTAATCTGCTCTGGGGTCCTTATTTTACCACTAGACAAAAGAGAAAGTGTGGCACGTGAGAAAATATTACAATCAACCCATGTTATTAAAGGCAGAAACAAAAGGGGGTCATTAAAATCCACCAGAAAATACACTTTTTATTGGTAATGAGACAGGCTGAGGAGGGAGAACATGAGTGCAGTTTGCCCAACAGCATCTTCCAGCATCCCTCACTATCAGCTATATTCAAAGCCGCAGTCCAGCAACATTTGAAGGGCTACAAATTGCTCCACCCATGCCCCCAGTCACACACAACAGAAGGGATAGAAATGGAAGATGAAATAGTACTCACCATAAGCCATTGTCTCTAGACCAAAATCAAATCCCACCTCTCATTTTCCAGGAAGCCTGTATAATTGTCTCTGTAACTATTTTGCATACACTACATCATCAAGTTCAGTTTGTACAGAAGGGGAGTGGATGCAGAGATGCTCAGCACCTTTCAAGTCACTTGTTATCTGTGCGCCCAGGAGGCATTTTCTCATCTGGTCTTAGACACTGGGTTTTTGCCTGCCAATTTTGGACTCTTGCTTGCTGAGGAGTTCCTGTGAGTATCTCTGTAGATCTTAGGAAACTATTTATGATTTAAGACATTGGCATGCTGGTTGATATCCAAACAGAACGGGCTGGAGATGTCACTGCCCTGGTCCTTTCATTACAGGCTACTACTTCCCAGCGGATGTCAGGTGGTGCAATACCAGCTAAACAGTATAATTTCTCCAGTGGTGTGAGGTGTAGACATCCTGTGATAATGCGGTGTGTCTCATTAAGAGCCACATCCACTGTTTTAACGTGGTGAGATGTATTCCACACTGGGCATGCGTACTCAAGAGTAGCAAAATGCAAGGGCAGATGTCTTCACTGTGTCTGGCTGCGCTCACCAGGTTGTGCCAGAATGCTACTGGAACATGGCCAGACAGGCCGAAAAACTCACAGCAACCCAAACTTTATGTTCATTTTTAACAGAGAAGGGGAAAATGGCAGATGCTGCTGGATTGCAATTTCCATCTGCAGCCCACTCCGAAAAGCCATAATAATAATAATAATAATAATAATAATAATAATAATAATATTTATTTGTCGTGTCAGGGCAACCAGTCAATTATATTACAATTCTAACAGGACAAAGCAAACAAACTGACAAAATACAAAATTTGTGAAGTTTGGTAGTTGATTAAATGTCCTTTGACCAGTATCTGGCCACTTGGAGTGCCTCTGGTGTTGCTGCAAGAAGGTCCTCCATTGTGTATGTGGCAGGGCTAAGGTTGCATTGCAGCAGGTGGTCAGTGGTTTGCTCTTCTCCACACTCGCATGTCGTGGATTCCACTTTGTAGCCTCATTTCTTGAGGTTGGCTCTGCATCTCGTGGTGCCAGAGCGCAGTCTGTTCAGCGCCTTCCAAGTCGCCCAGTCTTCTGTGTGCCCAGGAGGGAGTCTCTCATTTGGTATCAGCCATTGGATTGAGGTGCTGGGTTTGAGCCTGCCACTTTTGGACTCTCGCTTGCTGGGGTGTTCCAGCGAGTGTCTCTGTAGACCTTAGAAAACTATTTCTTGATTTAAGTCGTTGACGTGCTGGCTGATACCCAAACAGGGGATGAGCTGGAGATGTCTCTGCCTTGGTCCTTTCACTATTGGCTGCTACTTCCCGGCGGATGTCAGGTGGTGCAATACCGGCTAGACAGTGTAATTTCTCCAGTGGCGTAGGGCGCAGACACCCTGTGATAATGCGGCATGTCTCATTAAGAGCCACATCCACTGTTTTAGCGTGGCGAGATGTGTTCCACACTGGGCATGCATACTCAGCAGCAGAGTAGCACAGCGCAAGGGCAGATGTCTTCACTGTATCTGGTTGTGATCCCCAGGTTGTGCCAGTCAGCTTTCGTATGATATTGTTTCTAGCACCCACTTTTTGCTTGATGTTCAGGCAGTGCTTCTTGTAGGTCAGAGCACGGTCCAGAGTGACTCCCAGGTATTTGGGTGCGCTGCAATGCTCCAGTGGGATTCCTTCCCAGGTGATCTTCAGAGCTCGGGATGCTTCTCTGTTCTTGAGATGAAAGGCACATGTCTGTGTTAGTGAGCAAACCCTTCAGGCAGAGCAGAGCATTGTGTCCTCCATCTCTGAAGCCAAGAAAGAACAGTGGATCAAGCTGATCACAGAGGTCGACATGGGCAGGAGCAGCCAGAAGGCGTGGAGGCTGCTAAGACGGTTGAGCAATGACCCCTCACAAACTAATACCCATGCCAACATAAAGGCAGATCAGATAGCACACCAACTCTTGAAGAATGGGAAACCCAACTTTGCCACCAAAGTAGGAAAGAAACCAATAGCCAGACAACCAGAGATTGAGAACAACAACCTTCATGAACCCTTTACATCTACTGAATTGGACATGGCTCTCAACAAATGTAAGAATGGCAAAGCAGCTGGCTTGGATGATCTACAGATGGAACAAATCAAGAACTTTGGTCCAAAAGCAAGGTGCTGGCTGCTGGAGCTGGTGAACAACTGCACTGGTGTATAACATAGAGAGGACAGGGTGCAAATTACAAGACACAATCTAAAATCAATCTAGCAATAACAAAAGCATCATCATCAACAACATCAACAATATCAATATCAATAATACAAAAAGCCATTCGCATCGTCTCATCGTTAAACCACAATCCAGTATCATTTCCGTTGTTCCATTCCTGTCGTCATTACCAATTATTGCACTTCTTGTTCGAACGCCTTCTTGAACAGCCACATCTTTAATTTCCTGCGGAATATCATCAGGGAAGGAGCAAGTCTGATGTCCATGGGAAGGGTGTTCCACAGCCGAGGCGCCACCACCGAGAAGGCCCTGTCTCTCGTCCCCGCCAGGCGTGCCTGTGAGGCAGGCGGGATTGAGAGCAGGGCCTCCCCGGACGATCTCAAAGTCCTGTGGGCTCATAGGCCGAGATGCGGTCAGATAGGTATCTGTGGAATGACCAGGGTGGGACAAAGAACTCTTGTCTGCTGGAGCTAGGTGTGAATGTTTCAACTGACCACCTTGATTAACATATAATGGCCTGACTGTGCCTGGAGCAAACTTTTGTTGAGAGGTGATTAAATTAGAAGGAAAGGAATTGTTGAAATTTATGATGACTGGGAAATTTACTACAAAAAAGCCCCAGTTGCCCAGGCACTGCGGATGCCTGCCATAGATGTGGCTGAAACGTCATGAAAGAATGCTTCTGGACTTGACAGATGCAACTGTCTTTCGGATTGCAAAGGTCGACAACAAGCTACACAATTGGTCGGAAGCTCACTCCAACCCGGGCTGGCTTTGAACTCATGACCTTTTGGTCAGAAGTGATCTTAATGCAGCTGACACTCAGATAGCTGAGCCACAATCCCGGTACAAAACACTTGGAGGGTCCAAGTTTGCCCATGCCTGATCTATACTGTAGAGTTAATGCGGTTTCACACCACTTTAACTGCCATGGCTTAGTGGAAAGTGTAGCTCGGCAAGTCCTTGAGACTTCTCTTCCAAAGAAGGCCCAAGAGTCCATAATATTGAGCGATGGAGGTAAAAATGGAATGAAACTGCGTTAATTCTCCAGTGTAGACGCACTCAAGGCCTACTTCGAGGGAGGGAAGAAAGGGGACCCACTAGAAAATGGTGTGGAAGCGTTGCTGCCTCCATAGAGTGGCAAAGTCTTCGAAGCGGACGCTCTCGACTTCTTGGAAATGCCTCAGGAGCGCCTCGCAGTCTGTGGCCAGCCCCGGCCAGTCGGCCATGGCTGCAAATGAGCCTGCTTCCGCCTCAGTCCTCGGAGGCACGAAGTGCGCATGCGCGGTGCAGCCATCCAATGGTTGGAGATCAGGTTTCACGCGCCATTCTCGGAGTGCGCATGCGTAACAGCTAACTCCCCACCCTTTGCCCCGACGTGCGCATGCGCCAAACAAACTAGCCCCGCCCCTCTCGTCGCCCAGCCTCGAACTAACTAACAGCATGTGCGGCGTTGAGACTTCTATTAAAACCTACGATGAGCGGTTCTGGCCAATCCAAGGCTTTGGCTGTCTGCTCGCTCCGCCCCCTTACTTTATTTCTTAAAGTGACCGCGCCGTTTAGGTTGTCTCAGTCTGAAATGCAGAGAAGGAAAGGAATGTTGAAATGTATGATGACTGGAAATTTTTACTACAAATGTAACGTTTGAAACTTTATTTATACCCTGCCCCATCTCTCCCGGAGGGACTCGGGGCTGCTTACAACCAGAACAAACGGATACAATAAATGATCTACATAAAGTGAATTATAAAAATTCTATCTATATAAATTAAAATGTAATGTTTGTTTGTGGGATTAACATAGCTCATAAACCACTGGACGAATTGACACCAAATTTGGACACAAGACACCTAACAACTCAATGTATGTCCTTCACTATAAAAAAAATGATTTTGTCTTTTGGGAGTTGTAGTTGCTGGGATTTATAGTTCACCTATAATCGAATAGCATGATCGAATTGAACCAAACAGGGCATACAGGACTCCCACGACCAACAGAAAAACCTAGAAGAGTTTGGTGAGCATTGACCATGAGTTTGGAAGTTGTAGTTCACCTACATCCAGAGAGCACCATGGACTCAAAAATGATGGATCTGGACCAAACTTGGCACAAATATTCCATATGCCCAAATATGAACACAGATGGAGTTTAGGGAAAATAGACCTTGACATTTAGGAGTTGTAGTTACTGGGATTTATAGTTCACGTACAATCAAAGAGCATTCTGAACCCCACCAACGATGGAATTGAACCAAACATGGCATACAGTTCTCCTATGACCAACAGAAAACACTAGAAGGGTTTGGTGAGCATTGACCTTGAGTTTGGGAGTTGTAGTTCACCTACATCCAGAGAGCACTGTGGACTCAAACAATGATGGATCTGGACCAAACTTGGCACAAATATTCTATATACCCAAATACGAACATGGAGTTTGGGGGAAATAGACGTTGACATTTGGGAGTCGTAGTTACTGAGATTTATAGTTCACCTACAATCAAAGAGCATTCTGAACCCCACCAACAACAAACTTATTTATTTATTTGCTTTATTTCTATACCGCATTTTTCAGCCCAAATAAGCGACTCAATGCGGTTTCCCACACAGAACCCCCATGACCAACAGAAAATACTCATGGCCATGCAGTTCAACTCCCTTCACCAGGGCAAGAAAATGTAATCAAAGTCCTCCTGACAAAGAGCCGTCCAGCCCTAGATATAGATAGATATGATTCACAAACAGAGAGATATAGTATCATAGATTTGAAAGGGACCCTTAAAGAAGGACAACTATATGTTGCATGTTCCAGAGTGGGCAAACCAGACACTCTCCACATCAACACTGACAAAGAAACAACAAGAAATACTGTTGACCCACAAGCATAAAGAAATTACATATATTAGACACCAATGCTTTCTCATTACTTTATTTTCCAGATCACTGGGCCACACCAACGTGTGGCAGGGGACCGCTAGTATTGTGTATTTATCTTCAGGTTTGCTGTATAAAGTGTATATGAAACATAAATCAGTCTCATGTTTGGACTTAGAACCACGGTTGGAAGAGAGCTCGGGTGCATTTACACTATAGAATTAATGCAGTTTGACTCCGCTTTAACAGCCATGGCTCAATGGAGTTTTAGTTTTACAAGGCCTTTAGCCTTCCCTGCCCAAGAGTATTGATACTTTACCAAATTACAACTCTTATGATTCTATCGCATTGAGGCACAGCACATAAAGTGGTATCACACTGCATTCATTCAATAGTGTAGCTCAGGCATGGGCAAACTTAGACCCTCCAGGTGTTTGGACTTCAACTCCCATAATTCCTAACAGCCTACTGGCTAGATTCTTGTGGGTTTTTTCGGGCTATGGGGCCATGTTCTAGAGGCATTTCTCCTGACGTTTCGCCTGCATCTATGGCAAGCATCCTCAGAGGTGAGCCTACTGGCTGTTCGGAATTGTGGGAGTTGAAGTCCAAAACACCTGGAGGGTCTAAGTTGGCCCATGCCTGTTCTAATACATACAAGTCTATAAAATTTAAGTGTTTGCTTAAGTGTTTGCACCTGCATGCCTGTATTCATAGGGAAAAGCATAAAATAAATAATAATAATAATAATAAAAAAAAAACTTTAATAATAAGACCTCACTACCTCTGATGCAGGCGAAACGTCAGGAGAGAATGCCACTAGACCATGGCCATATAGCCCAAAAAAACCTACAATAACCCAGTTATTCTGGCCATGAAAGCCTTCGACAATACAATAAAACACCATCTCCCCAAGGGACTCGGAGCGTACATGAGGCCAAGACCAACAACACATCGATAAAACAACAATAGTAAAAAAACAAAAAGCAATAAGCAAAATAAACAATACAATTAGTATAACTCAGACATGGACAATAACACAGAAGAATTAAAAAAAGCTATGGCTGGGCCAGATGTAATAGTTAAAACTTTAAAAGTAAATCCAACTATTATATGCTAGCATATATATGTGTGTGTTGAGCCCTCGGTGGCGCAGTGGGTTAAACTGCTGAGCTGCTGAACTTGCTTACCGAAAGTTCGCAGGTTCGAATCCAGTGAGCAGCGTGAGCTCCTGCTGTTAGCCCCAGCTTTTCCCAACTTAGCAGTTCAAAAACATGCAAATGTGAGTAGATCAATAGTACCGCTTCGGCTGGAAGGTAACAGCGCTCCATGCAGTCATGTTGGCCACATGACTTTGGAGGTGTCTACGGAAAACGCCGGCTCTTCAGCTTAGAAATGGAGATGAGCACCAACCCCCAGAGTCGGACACAACTGAACTTAATGTCAGGGGAAAACCTTTACCTATAAAACATTTTGCCTAGAAGTACTTGGAAGAATAATGACCTCATGAGTGCCTTAACACCAAGTTCTTTGTTTTTCTGCAATCTTATAACCCATTATGTCAAAGAAGTATGTCACCTGACAATATATAAATTCTCATAATAATCAGTTATCATTTGTGGCTGAGTAGGATTGTCTTCCAAGGGTCGAGTCTTGGCAGTGGGTCCATCTGTGGCTGGAAATTAAGATGTCAGCCACAGATGTAGGTGAAATGTCAGGAGAAAATGTAGCTAGATCTTGGCCATACAGCCTGGAAACCACACAACACCCCACTGATTCCGGCCATGCAAGCCTTCGACAATGCATAATCAATAGTACCGCTCCAGCGGGAAGGTAACGGCGCTCCATGTAGTCATGCCGGCCACATGACCTTAGAGGTGTCTACGGACAACTCCAGCTCTTTGGCTTAGAAATGGAGATGACCACCAACCCCAAAGTCGGACTCGACTAGACTTAATGTCAGAGGAAAACCTTTGGCTATATGTGTGTGCTTTCGAGTCATCTGTTGATGCATGGTGACCCCATTAATTTAATAGTTTGCATAGGCAAGGATAGTAATTTAATAAGGTTTGTTTAGGCCAAGTTTTGCCAATCCCTCCCTCTGAAATATAACCAACACAAGTTGTTTATTCGTTCAGTTCTCTCCTGATGTTTCGCCTGCATCTATGGCAGGCATCCTCAAAGGTTGGAAACTAGTAAAATGGGGTTTATATATCTGTGGAAAGTTTTTTTGTTTTGTTTTGGTTTTTTTGGTCGTGTCAGGAGCGACTGAAGAAACCGCAAGTCACTTTTGGTGTGAGAGAATTGGCCATCTGTAAGGACGTTGCCCAGGGGATGACCGGATGTTTTGATATTTTTGCTATCCTTGTGGGAGGCTTCTCTCATGTCCCCGCATGAGGAGCTGGAGCTGATAGAGGTAGCTCATCCACGCTCTCCCCGGATTCGAACCAGCAACCTGTTGGTCTTCAGTCCTGCCAGCACAAGAGTTTAACCCACTGCGCCACCAGGGGCTCCGGTGTGAATATTTCAACAGGTAGGTGTGAATATTTTAACTGGTCACCTCGATTAGCATTTAATAATAGGTAAAGGTAAAGGTAGTCCCCTGACATTAAGTCCAGTCATGTCTGACTCTGGGGTGTGGTGCTCATCTCCATTTCTAAGCCGAAGAGCCAGCGTTGTCCGTAGACACCTCCAAGGTCATGTGGCCGGCATGACTGCATGGAGCGCTGTTACCTTCCCGCCGGAGCGGTACCTATTGATCTACTCACATTTGCATGTTTTCGAACTGCTAGGTTGGCAGAAGCTAGGGCTGGCAGCGGAAGCTCACGCCGCTCCCCGGAATCGAACCTGCGACCTTTCGATCAACAAGCTCAGCAGCTCAGTGCTTTAACCCACTGCGCCACCGGGGGCTCCAATAATAATAATAATAATAATAATAATAATAATAATAATAATAATAATAATATACATAGACAAAAAAAATTTTTTGTCGTGTCAGGAGCGACTTGAGAAAACTGCAAGTCGCTTCTGGTGTGAGAGAATTGGCCGTCTGCAAGGATGTTGCCCAGGGGACGCCCGGATGATTTGATGTTTATCATCCTTGTGGGAGGCTTCTCTCATGTCCCCGCATGAGGAGCTGGAGCTGATAGAGGGAGCTCATCCGCCTCTCCCCGGATTCGAACCTGCGACCTGTCGGTCTTCAGTCCTGCCAGCACAGGCGGTTAACCCACTGCGCCACCGGGGGCTCCAATTACAATTCATTACAATACAATAGTACAATGCATGATCAATAGTACTAGGCATTTAATGGCCTAGTAGTTTCGAAGTCTGGCTTCTTATTGCCTGGAAATATTCACACCTACCTCAAACAGACAAAAGAGTTCTTTCTCCC